ATTTCGCTTCATGGAAAAGCATTTTCATCCATGTATCAGTATTATGCATCTATATATCTTGCCGCATTACATTCATTTAAGCATGCGTGGTATGTACTCCAATACTCATATTCGTAACATTTATTACATGCAATTATCACAACAACAGCAAGCAGTAAAAGATATAATGCAAACACTATAGCATATAAGCAAAAAAACTACTACAATAAAAATGAGTTTAATATATGCACAATGGGAAGGGTGGTACTGTAGCTTACGAATTTTATTTTCATGTTTAATAAAAAAACATGAAAAGAAAATTTGTCAAAATCGATCGTAAAGGGTTGCTTCGCAACCCAAACAAGAGGCGACGAAATCGTCTTAGGGTTGCGAAGCAACATTACAGTGTTATTTTTAGATACATCTGACCTATAATGAGGATTATATTGACTTCCGATTTTTTTATGAGGATTATATAATATCGTAACATGACTTCTATATTTGTTGAAATACTGCTATTTACCGATACCCTTGACATTTAATATAGGATTATATGAATGAACGGGTGTGGTCGTTAAGGGTGAATATTCTGATTGTTAAGAACATTCTTTATGGCAAGTTATTCTTGTTCTGGTCAAATTATTTGGTTTTAGGGTGACTGGAAACCTGAAACAACAAAATTACAGAACGGAACGAGAACATTCCTTACCGACACAATGTTCACGACTAGGTTTGAACCCCCGACCTTCTGGTTGAAACGCTGCTTCGACAGCGTTGTGCAAAACACGCTGAATAAATTTCGGCTTGAAATTTATTGGACATCATTTTCGACGAAATACAAAAGAACGTAAAGTTTCTTCGCAACCTTACGTTTATAGAACAAAGCACAGCTTGTGAAGCCAGCTAGAGAGGAAAGCTCGCCATGCAATCGAAAGAGGAAAGCTTCCCATGCAAGTAAAGTTCTCTAGCTTCTCCCGTCCATCACGCCACTCACGCCACTCACACCACTCAGACTATAGTTCCTAGTTAAGGTAAGCCTCATTCTCTCTATTCTTAAGCTCATTCTAGTTGAGAGTGGGTTCTAGTTTAGCTCATTATGGTTGAGAGTTGTTTTTTTGACGAGATCTAGATTGTTTCTTAACCTCGCTTTCTTCCTAGGTTATGCCCCGTACTTTTGATCTCTCCTTCCCTCTCCTTCTCTCCACTTCTTCCCATCTTCTTCTCTCTTTTATTTCGATTTACATTCTACTTGCTTGCTCTTTTCAGCTCCTGCTCTTACTTTCGTCTTCTTCCGTACGCTGTTTCTTGATTTTTTCCTCTTCCTTAATTGAATTTTGAAATGATATCAACAACTATGTTCAGAGAGTTAAATTACTAGGTAGGAGCATTTTCTTTCTCGTTCACTCTCTCTCGTTCTCTCGTTCTCTCTCTCTCTCTCTCTCTCTCTCTCTCTCTCTCTCTCTCTCTCTCTCTCTCTCTCTCTCTCTCTCTCTCTCGTTCTCCCTCGTTCTCTCGTTCTCTCTCTCTCGTTATCTCTCTCGTTCTCTCGCTCTCGCTCTCGTTCGTTCTCTCTCGTTCTCTCTCGCTCGTTCTCTCTCTCTCTCGTTCTCTCCCTCTCGTTCTCTCTCGTTCTCTCTCAATCGTTCTCTCTCTCTCGTTCTCTCTCTCGTTCTCTCTCGATTTCTCTCTCTCGTTCTCCGTCTCTCGTCCTCTCTCTCTCGTTCTCTCTCTCGTTCTCTCTCTCTCGTTCTCTCTCTCTCGTTCTGAGGTGAGCTTAGGTCTTCTAGGCTAGTATTGTTGTTTACGTTCTAAGATTAAGAGAGTAAGGTATCTCGATTTAGAAAGAAGTACCTCGTGATTGGTGCTTACGTTTTTTGTACGGTATATTTCGTAATTGGTAGAACATGGAAACACGATTTTCTCTTTCTTGTCCAACTCTTTCGCTCGGCGGTTTCTCTCTCGTGGTCTCTCATTTTCAACCGCCTCTCTCTCTTTCTCCCTCTTTCTCTCATACTACCACATTCTGGCTAGCTTACGATAATTGAATATGAGCTTCATTGGAGAGCCTCTCGTTTTCTTCCTCGTTTTTGTTATTGCTTCCGTTTGTTTGTGCACCTTCCCTCGTGTTCCCCCTCCCCTTCACCAGCATCACTTCCAACCCCACCCTTCTTCTATCAGCTCGCTCTCAAGTTAGTGGAGAAAAACTTTTAGCATTTTGAATATGAGGTATCTTCTTCCTCTCTGCATTTCCATTCCTCTCCCCTTCTTTCGATGATCATTCTTCTTTCCTTTGTTCTGTACTTTTCCATTCTTACCTACGTGTAGCTCTTTGGACTTTTCTTCTTACTTTTTTTTTCTTTCTTCTTTTCCGTTTACTCCTATTCCCTGCTATTTGTGTTCAGAAAGCCAGCTTGTGGTTTTTTTTCTCAAAGTCGCCATCTATATCCCCTCAACTTCTATTCCCCATTTCCCCCCTTTCGTTTCCCTATTTCTACTTTTCAGAGGCTTTGCTGTACCATTCGGTAATTGAACGTCCTTTTTAAAGGAGGAACGATCACATTTGTGGCGATTAGGTCTAATTGTGTTGTATTGCTTGGTAGTGATCTTTTGCATCTTCTGTGTTTTTTTTTTTTCCTTTTTAAGTTCTTTATGCATTGGCTTGTTCCGAGCTTCTGTGCGTGCGTGTGTCCGTCTGATTGCGTGCGTATGTGTCCGTATGTGTGGCATTCATCTACCATGTCATTATCCATCTATTATTTCATTAACAATGCATGTCTGTGGTTTTTAGAAATGAGAATCAGTTCTATCATTTCCCAAAGGTTCATTGAGTTACACTCGAACGGGTACGCTCACTTGAACTGGATTTGGTAGGTTGATCTCGTTTTTAGACTTCACAGATTGTGTTGTTTCATGTGGCAGTTGATTATTCAAAGGCTAAGCTATTGACCTCCCCCCCGTGCTAGGCAGGGGATGTCGGTAGCTTAGTTTTTGGGTTGTTAACTGTCACGCATTTTATCATGTGCATGTGCATCATTCATGACATATCACATGCATTGTATAGCATCATTTATGCATTACGCATGCATCTCTTTATCATTAAACAACATCATCTAACACTAACATATAATGCAAACAGTACAGCCAATCTACACTAAACAATTGCAAAAAAAATCATATGGTTCAATGCACTATGAACAGTACCGTATTCAAAACTGCTCAACATGCATACAGTATGGGAATGGTATTACTGTAGCTGACAAATTTTATTTTCATGATTTTATAAAAAGAAATATAAATATGAAAATAAAATTTGGCAAAATCGATCGTGAAGGGTTGCTTCGCAACCCAAAAAAAAATACGGCCATCCTCATCTTTGAAGTTGCAATTCCCAGCAGCACTCGAAATTCCCTAGGCACCAGAGAGACTACGCTGTCTTCATCCCTTGGAAGATTCAAATTCATACTTCCCTTCTACTAGCGTTTAGGTTCCGAGAACCCTAGGTTCTCGAATATCAATGCTTATCAACCAGTTACTTGAGCCTGATTATTAGAGAGCGACGTCGCTTTCATTGTTATTTGAACGGTGAAGAAACTGCATCATCAATCGGTGAAGGTGAGGGTTGCGTTGCAAACAATTTGTGAAGTCGACGCACGCTTTGGGACAGGAAGATTCTCGTAGTCCCAAAACACACCAACAGGAGCACGATTTGTTGCCGGGGATCTCCAGGTAGAGCTTAGCTCCCTGAACGTGCTCTGGAGATCACCGGAGCTGGTAACATGTCGTTCTATGGCCTTTCCTCTGCATTGAAAAGGTATAGCAAGCTTACTCCTCAGCGTACCGCGTTCTAAAGTCGACAGCCCCGTAAGTGTTGAGAGTGAGAAATAGTTCAGTCTGGTCAGCCTCGAAGCTGGAAAAGTGGGATTGTACAAAGCGCGTGAGTCCATGGTGGGTTGCGTTGCGAATAGATTGAAAAGTTTGCACGCGATCATAATCAGCTCGGAGTAGGTTGAATCATTCCGCAAGCATATTGCGGAAACGGTGACATCGCCGAGCTTACTGCCTGCATTTTTTTTGGCGATTCTTCTCAACGGTTAATTAACCCCCATTCCTCATCGTTTTGTCAGTGGGACTCAAAATTACAGCCTGTAAAAAAGGTCAGCAGTTGCGGAAAAGGCCTAGTCAGAGAAGTCCTTAGCGGTGACGAGTGATTTAAAGAAATCAAGTCGTCCATTCGAGTTTCGCTTCGAAGAATGTCTTAATGGATTTTTTAAGGCCCTTGTTCTAGCCCTCACAGAGCAGGCCCATTCAGAGTGTACATAATCTTCTGCATATCTCCGAGTGGGCTTTTCGTCGTTCCGGGTTCAGGCGTGGGTAGGGAACCCTCTGCGTTGTTCACTTAAAGTGTTATTCTAACGCATCAGATTTCCATGTTTTTCTTCCTCGCTTATGGTTCTCTCCCAGGTTCAGAATGGAGGACATTGTGCCTCCGCCGCCTGCACAGGCCATCACAGAGCAAACCGTCACACAGGAGCGGCACTGCAAGACGGCGAATCTGGCAAGGCATATCATACTCCCAGCCGTTCCCGGCGACTGGTGCAAGCCGGAACTCCGCAGAGGGGGGGGGGGCATTTCTTTGCAGAGAGGCCGGCAGAGAGTAGCTTTTGCACCGTTGACGGGCAACATCCCCACGCCACAGTCGACGTGTGAGTGATGAGTCCGCAGCAAGGCAACGTTCATGGATGGACGAGACTTGTCCACAGCATCTGCACCCCTCCCCGTTTCATTGTTTTCGCGGCTGAGGTTGATTCTGATTCCTCACTTCGTTGACCCTGATCCGTTATCCTCCCGTGCGTCCTCCCTCTCCCCATTCCCTCCCCTTTCCCAGATCGCATCAGATCAGTCATGACTTCACGCATTGCTCCACGTGCAGGTCTCTCGAGCATTGCCAAGACTCCAAGAACCGCTGCCATGACACCCAGGCGGTTACCGGGAACATCCTCGACGGACTCCAACGTACAAGTATGGACTTTTCTACCGATCTGTCCCCGTCCTCCTTTTCCAAAGAATGTGAGGCGTGAGCGAGGTCACGGAAGGAAGGAACGTACCGCTTTGCATGCACTGATTCGTTCGCTCTCTCTCCGACTCGTCATCGTTCCGCCTCCCTCTCTTCTTGCCCCACCCAATCGCTCTCCTTCCTCCTCTCATGCCAGGTGATAGTGAGGATGCGTCCCCTGGACAGTGAGCGCAACGGGCAGACAGAGAAGTGGTGTGTGGTTGAGAAGGGTCCGCAGTCACTCGATCTCGAGGGAAAGCCCTTCACGTTCGACCATGTGGCTGGGGAGAAAGCGTCGCAGGTGGGTATAGGGGTGGCGGGAAGAGAGGACATAGCAGGCAGGCAGGCATAGGGATGGCACACAGGTGGGATGGGATCTCTTGCAGTGAAAGGATGCACTGAAATGGGGGGAGAGCGCGTTGCAGGCATGTGAAGGATGTTCGACCTTTTGCCTGGGGAAAGGGCAGAAGACGGAAATAGCAAGTTGCATTGGAAGGTGGGGAGGTGGGAACTAGTCATGGTGCACGTGCTTCTCCTCTTGCTGGCGAGTGCAGAGAATGACAGCAACCGAGGAGCAAAGCAGTGAGTGATCACGGGTGTTACAGTGACACTGGCAAAAGGGCCATGGGAATGCTATGGTGTGACAGTGACAGTGGTATCTGCTCAGTAGAACCGTTGATTGTCGCACATCTCATGGACACTGCGCCGATATTTGCCTCTGTGTGCGCCGATATGTACCCTATAGTATCCAGCTCTTCCCTTCCTCTCTTTCCCCCTCTCCTCCCGCCACCCTCTCTCTGTTCTCCTTTCACACGCGCCTCCCTCTCCTCCTTGCAGGCCAGGAGCACCTTTTCGGGCCGGCAGGGTTTTGAGGCGCCTCACAGGCCACCCTCTCACTCCCCCACTCTTCCACCCCTTCCCCCTCCCTCTCCCCCTCTTCCATCTTCCCACCCTGGCAGGAGGACCTGTTCCAGCTGGCAGGGCGGCCCATAGTCAAGAACTGCCTTGAGGGATTCAACAGCACTATGTTCGCATACGGTCAGGTTCGTCCTATGGGACCAGGTTTGTTCGTCCTATACAGGCAGGCTAGTCCTACATGGCTAGGTTCGTCATTTATGGCTAGGTTTGTCCGTTATCAGCCTCACCCTTCCATACTCTTGCCACTTCCCTCGTCCCTGAAAGCTTCGTTGCAAACACTCTCCTCCTTTTGGTTCCCACGCTCTCTTTACCTGATTGCAACCCAGACTGGCAGTGGAAAGACTCATACGATGTTCGGAGCTGGCGTGTGCAAGGATGAAGTGGAGATCGGGTCAGAATGGGGGATGATTCCGCGTGTGGTCCACCTGCTCTTCACTCTTTTGGAACAGGTGGGTCTTCACTCTGATGGAACAGGTATGTCTCCTTCTGCTTCCCTGCATCATGTGTGCTACCTGCTGCGAGCTGCCTGCATCCATGCAGCATGACTGGAAACTTCATCCATCCATTTATTGTGATCTTGATTGGGGCCCAGTTTTCAAGGTCTAAGAGGCGAGCCTGAGTTGATGTGCTGTCCGGTGCTGTTTCATGTGATACTGTCCTTACTTGCACCATCTTCTCTGTGTCACTACTTTTATCGCACCATCTTCTCCTACCTGCTCCTCTTTCTCCTCCCAAGACTCTCCCCGCCTACTTCCATATTTTCCACCCCTACTTCTCGCTCCCTATGCCAGGAGAAACAGCAAAGGGAAAGTGAAGGCTTCAAGTTCAGCTGGACATGCTCGTTATTGCAGATCTACCAGGATCAGATTTCGGACCTGCTCGACCCCACGCGCAGCAACCTGGTGGTGAGTGCTGCATGCAAATGCGGTTCTCTGTGCCCTTTGACGTCATTGAAAGGTCGTACACCTTTGAGTGCTGTAAGGACCACCCGGTCCCATAAGGACCCCGCCTGATCGCCATCAGTGTGCTCTTCCCCTTCCCAGTAGCTGAGATTCGTGTGGGTGGAATTTAATGCTTGGTGAGCTCACCGCACCAGGCAACCTGTTGCAGGCTTGGGCGTGGGCTACCACGAGCAGTGAGACGGTTTTACATGCTTGTTTCTTTGGTTGGTCTAATCATTAGTGCTCCACCTGCTTAAATTTGTGTGAGCTGCAAAGGGACACGTTCTTGGTGAACTTATTCCCGGATTCAACTCACCAAGCAGCCTGTTTTGCCGGCTTGACGAACCCAAGCCTTGTGTGTCTCACACCTTTCATCCCTCGTGCCTCTCGTGCATTCCTTTCTCTTTGCTCCTCTCCCTCAGATCGAAAGAGACTCCCCCATCAAAGGTGTGTATGTGAAGCTGCTCACCAAGCAGCCACTCTTCATCTTTCAAGCCCCCACGCATGTTCTACACACCTGCCATTCCTCTTCTCTCCCGTGTCTCCCTTCTCAATCCCTGCTCTCCCAATCTCTTTCAGATTGCAGAGGCAACCAACGGTGTGTATGTAAAGGACCTAACCAAAAAGGAGGTCACTACCTTTGCTCAAGTCATGGAGCTTATTCAGCAAGTGAGTAGCCGAGCTCTCTCTTTTGTACAGACAGCTCTCGTGGGGTGAGCTAGGGTTAAGACATTTAGGTGCGTTATGAATTCTTTGCTAATTCTGTGGAGCTCATGCAACAGGTGAGTCGCCAGTAGCTCCACTTTATACAAATGACTTACGGGATGAGTTAGAAATAGCTTCTGCAGCAGCCCATTCGGTTTCCAGCTGTGATTTATGTCGACTCATGCCGTGTGCAAAAGATGGCTTGAGTGTAAATGTTTCAAGAATGTAAAGCAAGCATTGATAGCAAGCATTGTCTGCTGTTCTAAGGGGGGAGTGGGTTGTAACATTGTCCTTGCACTGGCTGGTGCGTGCGAGTGCAGGGAATGGAGCAGCGGCAAACGGCGCCGACAAACATGAAAGAGGAAAGCAGCCGTTCTCATTGTGTCTTCACTTGCAACATTGAGAGCACGGTGGGTGCTGCTGATAGGCTTCAGGGTGCAAAGGTGACTCTTGAGTTGAGTCAGAAGTTCACGTGCAGCATTGATACATTGAGTGCTGATAAGCTTGAGCCTTGAAGCACTGTGAACATGTTCGGTGCATCCCCTTCCGTTGCACTTTTTCATGTGTGCATGCCCTTCTGTGCTTTCACTTTTCATGTGTGCATGCCTGCGTGTGCAAATGTGCGTGCCTCCTCACCACTGCAGTGGACGGCAGAGGGCAACAAAAATAGCCGCAGCAGCCAACTCAACCTGGTTGACTTGGCAGGTTCCGAAAAGTACTATACTTCAATCCTCCCTTGCAATATCTTCACTTCTGATGTGCCTCACATTACGCAACTCTCCTGCCATGTCTTGACTCTTGAGCGCCGCAAAAGACACGATCCTCCTGCATGCCATCTATCAAAACGCAATTCTCCCATGCCATCCGCCCCATGCTATATCTTATGGCCAGCCCATGCCATATCTTATGGCCTCCACATTCCATGTCTTATGGCCTCCCAATGCCATGTCCCCATCATATCATGCCTCCACTCAGCATGTAGCGCCCGTATTGGCTCTCCTCCTCCCACTTCGAACCCCTCGTGCACTGCACCCCTATCCACCGTTCTCCACCCCTGGCAGGCAGAAGCAATCAGGGGCGGAGGGTGATCGGCTGAAGGAAGCGATCTCCATCAACTCGTCACTCTCCCACCTCGGGTTTGTCACCTCCCTTCCTTGCTTGTATTATTGTATATGCTGTGCACACGTATCGAGTACCCTACAAACAATAGGACAAATCATGCTATGGTGTGTCATCTTAGCTGGATGTCAGCCAGCTGTTGTGCAACTTTGGTGTTTGCTCTGTCTATTTTCCTGTTCCGCTCTGTCTCTGTCTATTGTTGTACCCATCGTCACGTGTCGGCCTCACAGCAAGGTGATCATGGTGCTGGTGGGGTCGGTGAGGGAGAACAGGCCTCGCCCGTTGATCCAATCATATTCTCACTTGTGCCTGTCCGGTGTTAGTTTTGAAAATTCTCAAGTGTATCATCGCCCCTGTCCATGCCCGTGCCTGTGCCTGTGCCCATGTGTTCGTCTCACAGCAAAGTGATCATGCAGCTGGTGGAATCGCTGAGGGCGAACAAGCCTCGCCACATTTTGTACCGTGAATCCAACCTCACCCACTTCCTCCAGGTGAATGCTTTTCTTTTTTTCTAAATAGAAAACTTCTGCGAGACCAGTTCGTTTCTTGCATTCGGGAAAAGCCAAAAGGATCCTGCCACTGCCTTGTTTGTATTCCTCTCATGTCTCGTGGTTTCTCTTGTAGTTTGAAGTATGAGAAAGTGCCCACCTCCGCCCCCTCACTCCCCTTCCTGCCGCCTATTTCCCACATACTATGCACCACCATTTCATGTCGCATGCAGGACTCCCTGGGTGGGGAGTTTTGAGTCGACTCAGCAGCCGCCCCTCAGTCCCTATCCTGGCGCCTCTATCCTTCCTTTCCCCACCATTTCATCTCGTATGCAGGACTCCTTGGGCGGCAGCTAAAAAACTACCATGATTGCGTGTGTCAGCCCAGCCAAAGGGTAAGAAGCGGAGCTGTGAAGCGGACCCAAAGAGGTGCGTGTCTGTGCGTTCGTAACTGGTGCTTGTGGGTGAGTCGCAACATTGTGAAGCAAAGGTTCACAACCTGATCATATTGCATCTTCACGTTCTGTCTTGCCTGACGCTGCTGCTGCACCTGTGCTTGGACCCTGTTCTTGCAAGTGCTCTTAAGATCTCAAACAGCGTTTTACCTCACCTGCAGCTGTGCTTGGACCTGATTGCTACAACTCCTCCATTTCCATTTGAGCTGCCTCCAAGCGAATCTCCCTGTGTCATCCCTCTTTGTCCCCCGCAGTTCACACGAAGCGACTCACAGCACGCTCAGGTTTGCAAAGGACGTGAAGGAGGTGTGCAACAAGGCAGTTGTGAACGAGGCTGCAGAGCGCCAGCCGGACGACCAGCAAGCAGAGATCGCCAGGCTCATGGTGTGATGCCCCTCCTGCCCTGCTGCCCTGCTGCCCCTCTGCCCTGCTGCCTTGCTGCCCTGCTGCCTTGCTTCCCTGCTGCCTTGCTGCCCTGCTGCCTTGCTTCCCTGCTGCCTTGCTGCCCTGCTGCCTTGCTTCCCTGCTGCCTTGCTGCTGCCTTGCTGCTCTGCTGCCCTGCTGCCTTGCTGCTCTGCTGCCCTGCTGCCTTGCTGTCTTGTCGCTACTTCGCCACCTCCGCATTCTTCCTCCCCCCTTCCTCCATTTCGCTGCCGTTCCTCCCTCCCTCCGCTCCCTACCATACAGGACGAGCTGGACTCCACGATCAAGAGCAAGCAGGACGCTGAAGCTGATAAAAGCGCCCTCAATGACCGCCTCAAGCTTCTTGAGCAGGAGATGATGGAGCTACGAGGGAGGTTTCTTATAGAGGAGGGGGGGAGGCGTGATGCAGAGCAGGCGGTGGAAGAGGCGAGAAGGGAGCTTCGGGAAGCGGCTGCAGCCCTGGCTCAGGAGAAGGCTGCAGTTGCAGATCTTCGGGCGAGTTTGGAGCAGGTTCGGGAGATGCAGGAGGAGAGGAGGGAGCAGGAAGGGAAGCTGATGGAGCTTACAGAGAGGGTGATTGCAGAGGAGGGGGGGAGGCTTGATGCAGAGCAGGCGGCGGAAGAGGCGAGAAGGGAGCTTCGGGAAGCGGCTGCAGCCCTGGCTCAGGAGAAGGCTGCAGTTGCAGATCTTCGGGCGAGTTTGGAGCAGGTTCGGGAGATACAGGGTCGGGAGGAGCGGGGTGAGGAGGAGAGGAAGGAGCAGGAAGTGACGTTGCAGCAGCTTAGAGAGAGGGCGTTCACAGAGGAGGGGAGGAGGCGTAATGCAGAGCAGGCGGCGGAAGAGGCGAAAAGGGAGCTTCAGGAAGCGGGTGCTGCAGCTGCGGCCCTGGCTCTGGAGAACGCTGCGGTGAAAGAGCAGCTTCGAGCAAGCCGGGAGCAAGTTCGGGAGCTGGGACCGGGGGTGGAGGAGGAGGGAATGCAGGAGGAGGAAGAAGCGAGTGAAGGACTGGGGGGTGAGGAGGAGGGAGTGAGTGAAGGACTGGGGGGTGAGGAGGAGGGAGTGAGTGAAGGACTGGGGGGTGAGGAGGAGGGAGTGAGTGAAAAACTGGGGGGTGAGGAGGAGGAGGGAGTGAGTGAAGGACTGGGGGGTGAGGAGGAGGGAGTGAGTGAAGGACTGGGGGGTGAGAAGGAGGAGGGAGTGAGTGAAGGACTGGGGGGTGAGGAGGAGGAGCGAGTGAGTGGGGTGAAAAAGCCGAGAAGGAAGAATAAGCTCTTCACACTGGACGAGGTGGAGTTGCTGGTGGCTGCTGTGGAGAAGTTTGGCATTGGCAGGTGGGTGGATTGTACTGTTGAGGTTATAGTGATGGAAAAAACTAGTTTTGAGGTGCCTCAAAACTTGCCAGTGGCCGAGGTATAATCGCTGGTGGCTGCTGTGGAGGAGATTGACACTGGCAGGTGGGTGGGGGGTGTATTTTGAGTCAACTCAAAATACACCGGGAGAGTGAGGGTGGTGAGGAGGTGGCCGTTCACAGTGCCTGAGGTGGTGGAGCTGGTGCTGGTGGTTGAAGTGAAGGTGCTAGGCATTGGCAGGTGTGTGGGATTGCGGGAGGGCTCTGGGGGATGGGTAGATAGTGGGTGGGTGAGTGGGTGGGTGGGTGGATGAGTGGCGGGTGAGTGGTGGGTGGGAGGTGGTTGGTTGAGTGAGTGGGCGGGTAGGTGGGCGGGCGGTTGGGTGGCTGGCTGGCTGGCTGGCTGGCTTGAAGTGGTTGGGTGGGTTATGGGTGGGTGAGTTGTGGGTGGGTGGGCGCGGGGGGAGTTGGGCAAACTCCTGCTAGGCATCTGATAACTTCTGAATGGCGTTTGGATGCTGTAAAGGTGTTGGGAACTAGCACTTGCGTGAGTGGGGTGGTTGGGGAATGGTGGGGTAGGAGGAAGTGAAGGACAGCACAGCTGGGCTGTGGAGCATGGAGGCAAGGCAAGGGAAGGCTGAAATACTTAGGCTGCCTGGATTTTGTTCTCTCTCTTTTTCCTTCTCCCCCCATTTGGTCCGCAACGCACCCCCTGTGCACTTCAGATGGGTGGATGTGAAGGACAGTGCGTTTGCCACTTCACAGCACCGGACAAACGTGGATCTCAAAGTAAGTATCGTTCTCCTCTTCTCATCTACTCATCTTTATCTCTCAACAGATATAGTAGTTTTCATTTCACGTGCGTTTTTTTCACCTGTGTCGTTTTACTCCTTTTCATGTGTATCATCTCCTTGTTTCGTCTCGTATTCCCGTTTCAAAAACCCCCCTGCACTACTCAGGACAAGTGGAGGAACCTGCTAACTACCAAGTCAATTCAGCTGTCACAGGAGCTGTTGAATCGAGTGAAGCAGGCGGACAAGTACTGGAAAGAGCAGGCCAGAATCCAGCAAGAGAATCAAGGTTCGTAACTTCCTGACTACTGCTATTTTTATCCTGTTATAGAAGAGGCTTTTACTCTTTTCCTGTGAGAGTGAATATTCATTCTAGTCTTCAGTGTGTGAGTGGGCGCCTTCCCCACCTCCCCGGTCTTTCCCCTCCCCTTCCCGTTTCCGCACCTCCCTGGCCTTTCCCCTCTCCTTTCCGTCTTCCCCACCTTCCCCACCTTTCCCACCTACCCTGCCTTTCCGTTTGCACTTCGGTGGTCTGAGGGGGCAAAACGAGGAGCAGGCCGCAGCAGCGAAGCGGACGGAATGGCAGGTGAAACAAACGGAGGAGCAGTTGGAGCAGAGGGAGGAGCAAACGGAGGCGAAGCAGCTGAATGCAGAGTAGGGGCGGCACAGGAGGAAGGCGGGGCAGGCGGAGTGGATGACTATGATGAGGAGGCGAGGCTACAGCAGCAAGGGGAGGTGAGCATTGTTGCGCAGGCATGTCCCTAGTTGTGCTTCTAAGGGGATGGAGAAAGTGGGGTTTTTTTAGGGGTGGGAGTGGGGGTGTTTCAGAAGGGGGGTAAGGGGAATAGTGGTGTTTCTGATGGTGGGGGGGGGGGGTGGGGGGTTGAATGGTGGTGGATGAGGCGAATGCGACGCGCTTTACATATCCCACGTTTCTATCTACAGCGAAGATCATAGGCTTCGATAGCATCCCAGTCAGTTGGTTCCAGTGAGTTGGGTTCCAGTCAGTTGGTTCCAGTCAGTTGGGTTCCAGTCAGTTGGTTCCAGTCAGTTAAGTCCCAGCTGTGTGCCTTCTTATTTACTTTCACCCTGTACCTTCCTCTGCCTTGGTAACTGTCTCCCTGCCTCTGCCTCTGCCCCCATCTCTGATGATGCAGATAGATTCAAGTGCAAATGCGAGTCCTCCTGCGACAGAGGAGCATGGTTCAGAACACGGTGGCAACAGCAGTAACACCATCAGCAGCAGCATTAACAGCATCAGGAGCAACATCAGCATCGGCAGCAGCAGCAGCAGAATCGGCAACAACATCAGCAGCAGCAGCAGCAGCAGCAGCAGCAGCAGCAGGCAGTCACGGATTTCTTTAACTTCCAATCTGTCAGGCGCCTCTCTTCCTGAAGTGAACTCACTACCGCTTGAAATCGAGGAAGTTGCAGTGTCAGATGGGGACAGCGCTGTACAGGTGGTTGAACTGTCAGATGACGACAGCGATGCACAGGAAGCTGCAGTATCAGATGATGACAGCAATGCACAGGAAGCTGCACTGTCAGATGATGACAGCGATGCACAGGAAGTTGCAGTGTCAGATGATGACAGCGATGCACAGGAAGCTGCACTGTCAGATGATGACAGCGATGCACAGGAAGTTGCCGTGTCAGATGACGACAGCGATGCACAGGAAGCTGCACTGTCAGATGATGACAGCGATGTAGAGGAAGTTACACCTGCAGGTCAGTCTGGTGCTGCCACAACCACAACCCTTGCAGGGAGGCAGCAGCTAGCCTCAACCATGACTGGGATTGACCATCTGCCCCGAACTGCAAGCGAGCAACCAGAATGTGATGCGCAGCTGGAGCTACGCCCTCGTGTGATGGTTAGAAAGACAAGGAAGCAGAAGTATCGGAAGGTGTCAGAGATCTGTGCACAAACAGCACCGGGGCCCCCTCAAGCTGCCCCGAACTGCAAGCGGGCAACCAGAATTGTATGTGGAGCTGGAGCTATGCCCTCGTGTGATGGTTAGAGAGGCAAAAAAACAGAAATATCGGCTGCTGTCAGACATCTACCGGTGTTGACTTCCATTCACTCACAGCATACTGGTGATCCCCCAAGCAGGCCCTGCAACTGGTTTTTTTGTTTGAGGCACAAATCGGAGATGGTAACATTGCTTAGGGTACGGTCTTATAGGAGATGGTAACATCGTTTAAGGTACTAACCTAGGAGATGGTAGTAACATTGTTCAGGGTACGGTCCTACCCTCGCGTCTCAATCAAGCAGTACCGTGTGGTGAGATTCGTTTACAGGTATAGCTGGGTGACAAGCGGTGAACTGGGATGTGATCGATTATGACGCGAGTATAGGAATGTATCCTTGGCCTCTTTTATGTTAGCAAAAACTTTATTTCCTGATCACTTTTATTGTCATCTCTTGGGTATATGCCTCTTAAGGGATGTACGGGTTAGAACAACACGGGTGTATTTTATCAAATATAATTCACATGTCATTGCACCATAATTTGGAATCACATTTGCCAGCCTTCAGTTTTTCATGTATAACCAACCCGTTCCAGTAAGGAATTTTCCCGAGTTCCTTATCGGGGTTGACAGCTTCGCGTACAGCCTGATTTTCGGACTTCGCACGTTCGGCCGATTTCAACGCTGCCGAGGCTCCTCGCGTCGCCTTCGGCATTTCCCAATCGCCAAACCTGCACCCAACCTCGCTCGTCCGAGGTTCCCTCCTAGCTAGGCTAGCCCCTACATTAGTCTGTGCCTTCATTGTATTCTCAGATCAGTTAATCACAGTCTCGTTATTCGTTTACCTGCGCACTCTCTTTTACAACTCATAACACCTGGTATCAGAGCTACTTTCCTGGTTCACCCCGCTTTTCCGAGGGTAGTTTGGTGGCATAGGGTGTGGCTGGTTTAGAGACTACACGACGGTTGGCTGCAGGGATTGTTAATTCAATCCTGCCCGACTCCGATAGTTCGTGTTTTCACTTGCCTGAAGGCCACGGATACCCGATTGCCCACCAGACGTAGCGCTAGGCACATGGATCAGGAGGAGGTTAACAGGATGATGGCGCTAGTGGCAGAAATGCAGGAGAGCATGAAGTCGTTAATGGCGGAAATGACAACACTGCGTGAAGAAAACGCCGAGCTGCGCCAGACGCGAGGTTAAGCGCGTCAGGTGTCGCCCGAGGACGAAGGCGAGGGCAACAGTCAAGCGGTGAGCAATCCCTTGGACACGCTCACACGTGACTTCGAAGAGGAGGATAGGCAGCGAGCGGCATCAGCGCCAGTTGCAGTAACGACGATCAAGATCAAGCCCGTCAACCCGCCACCGTTTAATCCTACGGACAAGACGGTTACAGTAAAAGGGTGGCTGTTCGGGGTCGAAGTCTTCTTCACTGCAGCAGGAGTTAATGACGACGCCACGCGTATTAATTACGCGGTTTCGCTTCTTCGAGGTGCAGCGCTTGAGTGGTGGCGCCGAACCTTGGAAACGGGGACGCCGACAGGTGTGACGCATGCGGAAGACGGGACCTCAACAGTGACTAATCAAGTGGCAGAACCGATATTCGGAGTGACCACGATACGCACGTGGAAGGAGTGGGGCGCAGCCTTACGAGATCGCTTCGAGCACGTATCCGCCTCGGAGCAAGCTCGCATGAAGCTGCGTGCATGGTCGCAGATGGCTTCTGTCCAAGACTACACGTCGTCATTTATGGGCCTCGCCGACCAAGTGGACGACATGTCGGAAGCAGAGCGGTTGGATAAATATATCAGCGGCCTCAAATACGAGATACAGTACGAGGTTCGCAGGGGCCGTCCGACATCATTCCTTGAAGCAGTACGGTTGGCGGAGTCAACGGATGCGCTGATGCAGTACGCAAGAGCAGGTTCCAGGGATGGAAACCGCTTTCGTGGCCAGACCCATCGGGCCACAATCAACGCCGTCCATACACCCGACCGCCCTCCTAAGGGTCCGTGTTTCAGGTGTGGGAAGACGGGTCACTACATGAGAGACTGCCATGAGAAAACGCCGCTGACGGGGAACGACAGGAAGGAGCAGGGAAATGGGAAGAGTCAGTAACTAACGGGCCCTTTACCGACTATGCTCCGTCGCCCGAACCCCACCATCCCCACCGAGTCGTGGTTCCGATTCATGCAATCGATCGCACTCGGCCGAATAACGGGGATACACATGTGGATCACCCTGTGCTGGTCGCTGGCAAGGTGTTAAAAATAACTTCAAAATGTTCGTCGATGGAGGGGCCAGCCATAGCCTCTTCAACTTGGCGAGCGCAAAAAAATGCAAGCTGCAACTTGACAGGTGTCTGCCCGAAATTGACGCCCGCCTCGTGGATGGGACGCCTCTGGCGATAACGGAAGAAACACGGACGGTCAGGATCGACTGCGGCGACGATTTCGGATTCAGCATGAAGTTCCTCGCGACAACACTGGACGGCTGCGACGTACTGCTAGGACGTGATTGGCTGCGACGGCACAACCCCGTCATCGACTGGACAACGGGACCGTGCAGCATCAACAAGCACGAGGGGCTAATTAAGTTGCCTGCATGGACACCTGACTACATCCAAGCCCCTGAGAATAGTAGAACGAGAATGAATGAACTATGAATGAAGTGAGTACATATGGGAAACCCTAATTGGGTTGTACCCCCTATGGGATACCCCACTATAGCCTACACAACAGCATAAGCTATATATATGTTCTGACACACCCCCATAGGCAAAGTGGGGGAGAACAAGGGGTCACAAGACCAGTCAAGCAAAGCAGAGCAAGCTCAGGGTGGATCACAAAGTCACCACACAGTCCGAGCACAACGACAGGGCAACAGGGCCAGTTCACATGCAGGAGTACACATATATATATAGAGCTAGACAAGCAAGAGCAGGAATATATATGTGACAGTACAAGCAAGGTCAAGAAGAGAGCAAGTGAGGCAAGACAGGTACAAGACCCAGCTGGGTGCAGAAGCGCTGATGGTCACAAGGCGCAAGTGCCTTGGTGAACACATCAGCAGTGTTGGCCTCAGAGGCCACGTACGCAAGTCGCAACTGACCACGCTGCTGCAGCTCACGAGCAAGAAAGTAACGGAGAGCAATGTGCTTCGTTCTGTGCTCCAAGCGCTGCTCTCGACACAAGGCCAGCATGGCCTTGTTGTCTACGTACAACACTGGAGGAGAACGAGGCGGCTCTCCAAGGTCAGTCAGCAGGTAGGTGAGCCAACGAAGCTCCTGTGCAGCCATGGCCCCGGCGTAGATCTCAGCCTCACAACTGGAGCTGAGAACAGAGGACGAGCGAGTAGCCCGCCACGAGACAGAGCCGGAACCAAGACTGAAGGTGTAACCCTGCGACGACCGCTGTGTAGCCTGGTCGTCTGCCCAAGAAGCGTCCGCGTGCCCAGTGAGGACCACTGGACTCCGCCCTCCAAGCACTAGCCCCATGCCCGACGTACTGCACAAGTAGCGCAACACCCTCTTCGCTGCAGCCATGTGCTCTGGTCGGTGTCTCCCAGGAGCAACATAGCGTGAAAGAATGCTAAGAGGGTATGCAAGGTCAGGTCGTGTGCAGGTCATCAGGTACATGAGGCAGCCAACAAGCTCTGGGTACGGGCCACTCGACTCTACGGACTCATCCGAAGGCAGAGCTGAGAGCGAGTGGCGAGTAGACAGAGGAGTGGCCTGAGGCGAGGAGTACGTGAAGCCGAAGCGTTGAAGGACCTGCTGCACCATGTGTGACTGAGT